TAGTAGTAATAGTAGTAGTAGTAGCAAAAGTAGTAGTAGTAGTAGTAGTAGTAGTAGTAGTAGCAGTAGCAGTAGTAGTAGTAGTAGTAGCAGTAGTAGTAGTAGTAGTAATGGTAGTAGTAGCAGTGGTAGTAGTAGTAGTAGTAGCAATAATAGTAACAGTTGTCGTAGTGATAGTAGTAGTATTAGGCGTAGTAGTAGTAGTAGTAGTAGTAGTAGTGGTAGTAGTAGTCGTCGTAGTAGTAGTAGTAGTCGTCGTAGTTGTTGTAGTAGTAGTCGTAAAAGTAAAAGTAGTAGTAGTCGTAGTCGTAATAGTCGTAATCGTAGTAGTAGTCGTACCAGTAGTAGTAGTAGTAGTAGTAGTAGTAGTAGTAGTAGTAGTAGTAGTAGTAGTAGTAGTGGTAGTAGTAGTAGTAGTCGTAGTAGTAGTAGTAGTAGTAGTAGTAGTGGTGGTAGAAGTAGTAGTAGTAGTAGTAGCAGCAGCAGCAGTAGTAGTAGCAATAGTCGTAGTAGTTGTTGTAGTAGTAATAATAATTTTGGTGGTGGTGGTAGTAGTACTAGTAGTAGTAGTAGTAGTAGTAGTAGTTGTAGTAGTAGTAGTAGTAGTAATAGTAGTAGTAGTAGTAGTAGTAGTAGTGACAGTACTCTTATTATGATCGTTCCCCTCCCTCCATCAACCTGCTCCTCATCCTTCTCCTCATCATCATCATCCCTTTCCTTCTCCTCCTCCTCCTACTCTTCCCCCTCCTCCTCCTTCCAACTCCTCCTCCTTCTCCTCCTCCTCCTCTTTCTCCTCCTCCTCCTCTTCCTCCTCCTCCTCTTCCTCCTCCTTCTCCTCCTCCTGAGTCGCCAGCGTGGCAGTGCGGGCCGCCGGAACTCGTATTCAGACCACGGGGCTGTGCCGAGGTAAAGAGGACGGAGAAGAAGGAGGGCAAGGATGTAGGAGGCGTCAGGTTCGCCCACCCGAGGATGAACATGCATAAAGAGGAGGGGGGGGGGAGGGAGGGAGAGGCGGGGGCGGCCCCGAACGGGAGTGGCGGGTGGGCCTTTCGGCAAAGCCGTGGCTTCACTGGGGGAGGCCTGAGGGCCCGCGTGAGATGCCCAAGGGCCCCTCGCGGGGGAGAGGAGGGGGGTGGGGGGGCGAACAGCGACAGGAGACGGATTATGATGGGCAGGAAGAGGAGGTTGACGAGAGGTAGGGGGCGGTGAGGGGGCAGGAGCCTGGTTTGCCTACCCGACGAGGAACGGTGACGAGGGAGGAGGAGGAGGAGGAGTTGGAAGGAGGAGGAGGAGGAGGAGGAGGAGGAGGAGGGGAGGAGGGAGGAGGAGCAGGAGGAGGAGGAGAAGGAGGCGGCGCGGAACCGGAGTGGTCCCCGGGCGCTTCGGCGAATCCGCAAATTTCCTGGAAGGAGCCTCGGGGCCTTTGAAACATGCCTGAGGGCCTTCGGAAGAAGGTCCAGGGCAACGGAGGGGATGGGGGCGAACAGCAGCAGGAGAAGGAGACTTAGAGGTAGGAGAAAGCAGAGGACGAGAGGAAGGATGATGATGATAAGGGAGGAAGAGTCTGCCTTGCCCACCCGTGGCGGAAGGGGAGAAGGAGGAGGAGGAGGAGGACGAGAAGGGAGGAGGAGGAGGCCAAAAGGGCAACGTGGAATGCAGCGTCCCAAACCGCCACCCCAGAATCCCCCACCCTCGGCTTTTCCTCCCGACACCCTTTTTAGACGCCCCTGGCGGACCGGCAGGGGGCCGAAAGCGGCTCTCGAAGCCGGCCGCCGCGATGGATAATCTCAATGCGAGGCAGCGGGGCAGACGCACAGACGGAGCCACCGCGCGCCCGTCCCCAGAAAAATTGCAACATCGTAGAAAAAACTGAAACAAAATCGTAGAAAAATAACGAGATCCAACATCACTGGAAAATCGCAACATCGTCGAAATCATAACTGGAGCCCTGGACCGATGCGCCAGGGCCCTGGGGCCCGAACCATCCAGGTCACTTGATACCTGATTCTTCGGTCGCGCTCGGCAGCCACCGATCGGCACTCCAAATCGGTCGCGACCGGTCGCGGCTGATCCCAAAATCGTTCGCGACCGAACGCGGACGATTCTGAAACAGAGCTGTCGCGACCGATGCCAGGATGTGGAGCAGAATCGGCGGACCGACCTCGTCCGTCGCGACCTGGAACATCTGACATCCAATGATCACTGCGCGCAGCGAAATCGCCAGGCATGAAAAAAATGCGACGCCAGTGGTTGTTGTCGTCGTAGTAGTAGTAGTAGTAGTAGTAGTAGTAGTAGTAGTAGTAGTAGTAGTAGTAGTAGTAGTAGTAGTAGTAGTAGTAGTCGTAGTAGTAGTAGTAGTAGTAGTAGTAGTAGTAGTAGTAGTAGTAGTAGTAGTCGTAGTCGTAGTCGTAGTAGTAGTAGTAGTAGTAGTAGTAGTAGTAGTAGTAGTAGTAGTAGTAGTAGTAGTAGTAGTAGTAGTAGTTAGTAGTAGTAGTGGTAGTAGTAGTAGCAGCAGTAGCAGCAGTAGTAGTAGTAGTAGTAGTAGTAGTAGTAGTAGTAGTAGTAGTAGTAGTAGTAGTAGTAGTAGTAGTAGTAGTAGTAGTAGTAGTAGTAGTAGTAGTAGTAGTAGTAGTAGTAGTAGTAGTAGTAGTAGTAGTAGTAGTAGTAGTAGTAGTAGTAGTAGTAGTAGTGGTAGTAGTAGTAGTAGTTGTAGTAGTAGTAGTAGTAGTAGTAGTAGTAGTAGTAGTTCTAGTAGTAGTAGTAGTAGTAGTAGTAGTAGTAGTAGTAGTAGTAGTAGTGGTAGTAGTAGTAGCAGCAGCAGCAGTAGTCGTACTAATATCAGTCGTCGTAGTTGTAGGCGTACTAGAAGCAGTAGTAGTAGCGGTAATCGTCGTAGTAGTGAAAGTAGTAGTAGGTGCAGTAGTATCTCAGGGGACATCCACGAAGGGAGCCGCCGCGCGCCCGTCCCCAGACCCCCTGTCGCCGCGCTGCTCCTTCACAGCGTGGATCCCTAGAGGTATCGTCAATTCCCTGGCACGAACGGCTTCGGGAGACCATCCCCCTGCAGGTCCCCCTTCTCCAAAGGAAGGTCGCCAGGCCCCCTGGGGGGCAGTAGTCTGATACCCCCCCCCGTATACCCCCCCCCTTGCCCCCCTCTGTCAGGTAGGGGCACAGGGGAGGGAATCGACGTCACTACGACGATTCTTTTACGACGCGTTTTGTCCTCCTGAGTCGTTCCTTGGCGTCCCCGGGGCCCAGCAAGGGCCCCCAGGGGCCGGCTAGGGCTGGTCGGCTGCGACCGAACGGTCACGAGTGGTCGCGATTGGTCGCGCCCAGTCGCGAACGATTTTGGAGTCGGTCGAAATCGGTCGCGACCGATGAGGCGCACCGATCGGTCGCTTCCGATCGCGACCGAACAAGAATTGGTATCCAATGATCTGGGAGGGTCTGGAAATGGCAAAAAAAACTGACGCCCGTGCTTCTGTCAAAACGTGAGGGGTATGCTCCCGTGTAATACAGCGACGCGGCCGCAGACGTCTGACGATATGATTTTTCAGTGGGCGGCCCCAGAGGTCCCCACCGCCTCCCTCGGGGGAGCCCCCGCGCACATCGCCCTGGCAAGGCGGCGAACCAGTGGCGCCAGGCAGCTCCCATGCGTCCATGCTCGCTGGCCCCGGGCCCCGGCACAGTCGTACCTAGGACAGAAGAACATCCTTCAAGACCCTCCGCGGGCCAAAAGCACCAAACCATGAGATCACGCGAGGGTACACTCCCCCAGGATGCACAATAACATCCCACAAGAACATCCCACAAGCACGAAGAGCATAAGGGTAGAGCCTGCTCTTTTATGATTCGCGATAACGGGCGTGATCAGGGGAGGGGGGGGGGAAGAGTTTGTCCCCCCCGCGCGATCACATCACGGCGGGGGGCCGCCGGAAATCCTAGCAAATCCTCAGACAGAATCCGTGGGAAATTGTTGCACGTGTGGGCAACATTGCGCGAGGTGCTCCAGGAGGGGGGGGGCGGGAGGGAGAGGGCCGAGAACGGCCGCTGCCGCCCAGACCCTGTACAAAACACAGGCTCGCACCCTCCCCGAACCGACCTCAGTCTCAGACCTCGGCCCGACTGCAACGGGCCCCCAGAGGCCGCAACTTTCGGGAGCGGCCAAGAGGGGGGTGTCCAAGAGGGGGGGGGTGCAAATCATGGCCGGCGGCACGTGCGCGGCCCAGCGGGGGGGCCAGGGACGTAATGAAATAAGAAGAGGCGCCATTAAATCTGGGGAAATATCATGGCCCCCGCCATGATATCCACCCCCCCCCCAGTCATCACCCCCCTCTTTTCCGCCCACGGCCAGAGGCCGCAACTTCACGGACAACAAAGAAAAAGACACGGCCGGGCCGAAGACACGTGCTCTCTCGCCGGAGCTCCGGAGCCGCCACGCGCCCGCGCCTGCCGTCCAGAGACGCTCTCTGACTGTCCAAGAGGGCCCAATGAGGGCCCCCAGAGTCGCAGGCGTGCTCGCGTCGTGAAAGAAGCATGGCGGACGGTTTTTCGTCGTCTTCGGCCCCTGGGGGCCCCCACCGGGCCTCAGGACCGTCAACAAACGACTCGAGATGAAAACCGAGTCCTCGGGAAAGGGTCGAGACTTTGGGGGAACGCGTATTGGAAAAATGAGGGCGTCGCATGCCTGGGGCTATGTTATCCCCATCTTACTTAAGGACCGCATCTCAGAAATCATGTCAAGCGCCCAGAAAGGTATCGAAACAGTGCCTGCCCGACACGCCAGCGAAGTGTCGAACGAGTATCGCCTCCCAGGGCCCGACACGTGAAAACCTTCCAGTGTTGGTATTTTCCTGGTGCTCAAAATTATTTCTGGTGGTAAAGGCTATGGTAGGTAGGAGCATCAGAACCGCAGAGGTCAGAAACAGCGAAAAACTCCCGCGGTGAGCTCCTCACCACGACAAGGGGGTCAAACATCTACCCCCTGACCTCTCCTGGCGCGCGTGGCGAATCCGGCCGTGGCGACGAGAAGCCCCCCAGAGGCAAAAAAAATAAGAGCAAAAAAAAAAAAAAAAAAAAACGTCATGAGATTTCTTAAACGGAAGTTCGAGCTGGCCAGGGGTCTGAATTGGATGGGCCCTGAGAAAATCTGCGAAGAAGGGGATACCAGGGCAAATCTGCTCAAAATCGGTTCCTGGACCCCCCTCCGGGGTCCATCTGGTCCAGCTTGTCACCCTGGATAAGTTTTGACTGTCCCAGGGCTTGAAAACACTGCCCCCCGAGGCCGGAACGAGCAAAAAACGCTGTCCTACCCAGAACCTCGAACGTCGCCCACCCGTCATGCTGGCCGGAAGACGTGCTGGGCCACCTCAGACCCCCAGCCCGCTCCAAAACGAGAGGGGGGCTGGGTCCGTGTAGTACAGCGACGCGGCCGCCGCAGCTCCGAAGCCCAGGGCGCCCTTCGCGGCCAGGGCCGCCCGCAGCCGCGCCGCAGACGGCGCCGCCATTTGGCGCCCGCGGCCGGCCCGCGGCCCGGCGCGCTCTCGAGAGGCCGCGGCCGCGGTCGGGCCGCGGCCGACGGGGCGCGCGCGCGCCGCGCCAGCGCGGAGCGCGCGCCAGCCCCGAGATCCCCCCCGCTTGGCCCTGATATCCTTCCTGCCCGGATCCTTCCTGAGATGCGTCGGGCCCGGGACCATGATGGATCGATCCGGCTCGAAAAATGACGCAGAAAGATAGGGTCCAGGGCTCTGACCTGAACATTGCAACCAGACCACCACACCGATCTTGGCTCCTCCTCCTCCTCCTCCTTCTCCTCCTCCTCCTCCTTCTCCTCCTCCTCCTCCTCCTCCTGCTCCTCCTCCTCCTCCTCCTGCTCCTCCTCCTCCTCCTCCTCCTCCTCCTCCTCCTCCTCCCTGTCCTCCCTCCTCCTCCTCCTGCTCCTCCTCCTCCTATCCTCCTCCTGCTCCTCCTCCTCCTCCTGCTCCTTATCCGCTCTCCTCCTCCTCCTCCCCTCCTCCTCCTCCTCCTCCTCCTCCTCCTCCTCCTCCTCCTTATTCGTCTTATTATTATGAGTTTTCTTATTATTAGTAGTATTATTATTAGTAGTATTATTATTAGTATTATTATTAGTATTATTATTAGTAGTAGTATTATTATTAATAATAATAATCATATTATTATTATTACTACTATTATTATTAGTATTAATATTATTATTCCCCACATCCTGAGTGGGGTTCTTGTTTTCCCAGAACACCCTCTCCTTCCCACCCACCTCCCGCTCCATCTTCCATACAGCACAATATTATTCCTACCACACACACCATACCATACCATAGTTCCTACCACACATACCATACCATACCATACCATACCATACCATACCACACCATACGTACCATACCGTACCATACCATACCATGGCGTACCATAGCATACCATACCATATCACTGCCCCTCCCACCCCTCCAGGGAGGCCCCGCCTGAGCGAGGAGGGTATCGGAATACCATACTATTTACATGGTTTCGTGCCCCTCCCACGAGGAGTATCGGATACCAGACTATTTAAAATGGTTTCGTGCCCCTCCCACACCTCCATGAGGCCCCGCCTGCGCGAGGAGGGTAATCGCATACCATAACTAATTTACTGGTTTCATGCCATACCCAACCCCTCCAGTAGCCCCGCCTGATCGAGGAGGTATCGGATACTACTATTTTTATCAATGGTTTCGTGCATCCCACCCCTTCCAGATGCCCCGCCTGAGCGAGGAGGGTATCGAATACCAAAACAAAACCATACTTTTACCATGGTTTCGTGCCCCTCCCACCCCTCCAGGGAGGCCCCGCCTGAGCGAGGAGGGTATTCGCATCACCTGTTATTTCTCAGGTTTCGTGCCCCTCCCCCCCCTCCAGGGAGGCCCCGCCTGAGCGAGGAGGGTATTCGCATCACCTGTTATTTATCAGGTTTCGTGCCCCTCCCACCCCTCCAGGGAGGCCCCGCCTGAGCGAGGAGGGGGATCGGAATACCATATTATTTACATGTTGCGGCCCCTCCCACCCCTCCGAAGAGGCCCCGCCTGAGCGAGGAGGGTATCGGAATACCATACTATTTACCGCATGGTTATCAGTGCCCCTCTCCCCCCCTCCAGGGAGGGCCCCGCCTGAGCGAGGAGGGTATCGGAAAACATGACTATTTACATGGTTTTCTGTTGCCCCTCCCACCCCTCCAGGGAGGCCCCGCCTGAGCGAGGAGGGTATCGGAATACCGTACTACTTACATGGTTTCGTGCCCCTCCCACCCCTCCAGGGAGGCCCCGCCTGAGCGAGGAGGGTATCGGAATACCATACTATTTACATGGTTTCGTGCCCCTCCCACCCCTCCAGGGAGGCCCAGCCTGAGCGAGGAGGGTATCGGAAGACTATACTATTTACATGGTGTCGTGCCCCTCCCACCCCTCCTGCGTAGCGAGGAGGGCATCAAGAAAATGGGTCCCACGAAACCGTTAATTTCTATATGTGGGGAGCTCCGTTAGCATAATTAGTATTATTATTAGTATTATTATTACTGTTATTATTATTATTAATAATACTACTATTATTAATATTATTATTATTAATATTATTATTAGTATTATTGTTATTACTATTATTATCATTATTAGTATTACTATTATTCCCCACATCCTGAGTGGGGTTCTTGTTTTCCCAGAACACCCTCTCCTTCCCACCCTCCTCCCGCTCCATCTTCCATACAGCACAATATTATTCCTACCACATACACACACCATACCATACCATAGTTCCTACCACACATACCATACCATACCACACCATACGTACCATACCGTACCATACCATACCATGGCGTACCATAGCATACCATACCATATCACACCAATGTCACACCGTACCATACCATACCATACCTCCAGTACCATACTATACCATATCATACCATACCGTACCATACCATACCTACCATACCATTCCATACCACTCCATACCGAAAACCATACTACTTACATGGTTTCGTGCCCCTCCCACCCCTCCAGGGAGGCCCCGCCTGAGCGAGGAGGGTATCGGAAACCATACTATTTACATGGTTTCGTGCCCCTCCCACCCCTCCAGGGAGGCCCCGCCTGAGCGAGGAGGGTATCCGAAAACCATACTATTTACATGGTTTCGTGCCCCTCCCACACCTCCAGGGAGGCCCCGCCTGAGCGAGGAGGGTATCCGAAAACCATACTATTTACATGCTTTCGTGCCCCTCCCACCTCTCCAGGGAGGCCCCGCCTGAGCGAGGAGGGTATCGGAAAACAATATTATTTACATGGTTTCGTGCCCCTCCCACCCCTGCAAGGAGGCCCCGCCTGAGCGAGGAGGGTATCCGAAAACCATACTATTTACATGGTTTCGTGCCCCATCCCACCTCTCCAGGGAGGCAAAACCATACTATTTACATGGTTTCGTGCCCCTCCCACACCTCCAGGGAGGCCCCGCCTGAGCGAGGAGGGTATCGGAATACCATACTATTTACATGGTTTCGTGCCCCTCCCACCCTCCAGGGAGGCCCCGCCTGAGCGAGGAGGGTATCCGAAAACCATACTATTTACATGGTTTCGTGCCCCTCCCACCCCTCCAGGGAGGCCCCGCCTGAGCGAGGAGGGTATCGGAATACCATACTATTTACATGGTTTCGTGCCCCTCCCACCCCTCCAGGGAGGCCCCGCCTGAGCGAGGAGGGTATCGGAATACCATACTATTTACATGGTTTCGTGCCCCTCCCACCCCTCCAGGGAGGCCCCGCCTGAGCGAGGAGGGTATCGGAATACCATACTATTTACATGGTTTCGTGCCCCTCCCACCCCTCCAGGGAGGCCCCGCCTGAGCGAGGAGGGTATCCGAAAACCATACTATTTACATGGTTTCGTGCCCCTCCCACCCCTCCAGGGAGGCCCCGCCTGAGCGAGGAGGGTATCGGAAAACCATATTATTTACATGGTTTCGTGCCCCTCCCACCCCTCCAGGGAGGCCCCGCCTGAGCGAGGAGGGTATCCGAAAACCATACTATTTACATGGTTTCGTGCCCTCCCACCCTCCAGGGAGGCCCCGCCTGAGCGAGGAGGGTATCGGGAAAACCATACTATTTACATGGTTTCGTGCCCCTCCCACCCCTCCAGAGAGGCCCCGCCTGAGCGAGGAGGGTATCGGAAAACCATACTCTTTACACGGTTTCGTGCCCCTCCCACCCCTTCAGGGAGGCCCCGCCTGAGCGAGGAAACCACCAACGCCCAGAGGGCTGGTGGGATTGAGAGTCTGTGTGCCGGAGCTCCTTACATGTCTGCAAGGTCGCTGAGCCTAGTGCACACCAAGGGGTCCTCCAGGGCCTCGGCAAACCCTTTCAACATGAGCGGACAGGATGAGGAGGAGGAGGAGGAGGAGGAGGAGGAGGGGGAGGAGGAAGAGGAGGAGGAGGAAGAGGGCATCAAGAAAATGGGTCCCACGAAACCGTTAATCTCTTTATGTGGGGAACTCCGTTAGCATAATTATTATTATTAGTCGTATTATTATTATCATTATTATTAGTATTGCTATTATTAGTAGTATTATTAGTAGTAGTATTATTAGCATTAATCATAGTATTGGTATTAATATTAGTAGTATAATTCCCCACATCCTGAGTGGGGTCTTGTTTTCCCAGAACACCCTCTCCTTCCCACCCACCTCCCGCTCCATTTTCCATACAGCACAATATTATTCCTACCACACACACCATACCATACCATACTATTTACATGGTTTCGTGCCCCTCCCACCCCTCCAGGGCGGCCCCGCCTGAGCGAGGAGGGTATCGGAATACCATACTATTTACATGGTTTCGTGCCCCTCCCACCCCTCCAGGGAGGCCCCGCCTGAGCGAGGAGGGTATCGGAATACCATACTATTTACATGGTTTCGTGCCCCTCCCACCCCTCCAGGGAGGCCCCGCCTGAGCGAGGAGGGTATCGGAATACCATACTATTTACATGGTTTCGTGCCCCTCCCACCCCTCCAGGGAGGCCCCGCCTGAGCGAGGAGGGTATCGGAATACCATACTATTTACATGGTTTCGTGCCCCTCCCACCCCTCCAGGGAGGCCCCGCCTGAGCGAGGAGGGTATCGGAATACCATACTATTTACATGGTTTCGTGCCCCTCCCACCCCTCCAGGGAGGCCCCGCCTGAGCGAGGAGGGTATCGGAATACCATACTATTTACATGGTTTCGTGCCCCTCCCACCCCTCCAGGGAGGCCCCGCCTGAGCGAGGAGGGTATCGGAATACCATACTATTTACATGGTTTCGTGCCCCTCCCACCCCTCCAGGGAGGCCCCGCCTGAGCGAGGAGGGTATCGGAATACCATACTATTTACATGGTTTCGTGCCCCTCCCACCCCTCCAGGGAGGCCCCGCCTGAGCGAGGAGGGTATCGGAATACCATACTATTTACATGGTTTCGTGCCCCTCCCACCCCTCCAGGGAGGCCCCGCCTGAGCGAGGAGGGTATCGGAATACCATACTATTTACATGGTTTCGTGCCCCTCCCACCCCTCCAGGGAGGCCCCGCCTGAGCGAGGAGGGTATCGGAATACCATACTATTTACATGGTTTCGTGCCCCTCCCACCCCTCCAGGGAGGCCCCGCCTGAGCGAGGAGGGTATCGGAATACCATACTATTTACATGGTTTCGTGCCCCTCCCACCCCTCCAGGGAGGCCCCGCCTGAGCGAGGAGGGTATCGGAATACCATACTATTTACATGGTTTCGTGCCCCTCCCACCCCTCCAGGGAGGCCCCGCCTGAGCGAGGAGGGCATCGGAATACCATACTATTTACATGGTTTCGTGCCCCTCCCACCCCTCCAGGGAGGCCCCGCCTGAGCGAGGAGGGTATCGGAATACCATACTATTTACATGGTTTCGTGCCCCTCCCACCCCTCCAGGGAGGCCCCGCCTGAGCGAGGAGGGTATCGGAATACCATACTATTTACATGGTTTCGTGCCCCTCCCACACCTCCAGGGAGGCCCCGCCTGAGCGAGGAGGGCATCAAGAAAATGGGTCCCACGAAACCGTTAATCTCTTTATGTGGGGAACTCCGTTAGCATAATTATTATTATTAGTATTATAACTATTATTATTATGATTATTAGTATTATTATACGTATTAGTATTATTATTATCATGATTCATATTACTATTATTATCATTATAAGTATTAGTATTATTAGTAGTGTTATTAGTATTGTTGTTATTATTATTAGTAGTATTATTATTAGTAGTATTAGTAGTGGTAGCATCATTAGTATTATTATCATTACCATTATTATTACCATTATTAATAGTATTAATAGTATTACTACTAGTAGTATTATTATTCGTAGTCGTAGTATTATTAGTATTAGTATTATTAACATTAGTATTAGCATTACTATTGTTGCTATTATTATACGTAATCGTATGTTTCTTATTATTCTTCTTTTTATTATTATTACTTGGCTTCTTATTCGTATTCTTATTAGTATTAGGTTTATTCTTAGTGTTGTCATTGTTGTTGTTAGTATTATTGTTATTATGCTTATTCTTATTCATATGTTCAGACGTATTATTATTATTGTTCGTCTTATTAGTATTGTTGTTATTATTATTCTTATTCTTCTTATTATGATTCCTCCTCCTCCTCCTCCTCCTCCTCCTATTCCTCCTCCTCCTCCTCCTCGTCCTCCTCCTCCTCCTCCTCCTCCTCCTCCTCCTCCTCCTCGTTTCGATCCTGTATCCTCTCCCCCCACACCCCTCGGGCGGGAAGGCAGGCGCGGCCGACGCAGCGGCGGGCGGGCGCCGGCCGGCGGTGCAGAGGGGGGGGCCGGGGGCCGCGCGTGCTGCGTGGCGCGCCAGGCGCTCCAGGCCTCGAGGCCGCTGAGAGCCTCCTCGGCGGGGCAGGGAAAGGGGGGGGGGGGGGGGCGAAGAGGAGGCGAGTCGGAGGCGAGGAGGGGAGGGGCGGGCAGGGAAGGGAAGGGGAGGGGAGGGGGGAGGGAGGAGGGAGGGAGGAGGAGGAGGAGGAGGAGTGGAGTGGAATGGAGCAATCGGACGTAGTCCGTTCGGGAAACAAGAGACGCCAGGGAGGGCCATCCAGAATTTCTCGGAGTGGCGTGGGTGGCGACATCCCACGGCACACCGCGACAGGCCCCCCCTGGCCTCACAATTTACTCAGAGGCACCGCTAGGAGCCGCGAGAGACGCAATCGCGGCTTCGGCTGCCGATTCATGCATAGCGGCTAGAACAGACTTGCTGGGACCCGATCTGGACGGATGGAGGCCTCGTCTGATCCTGCTGAGGTTCTCGAGGCCTTTGCCAGTGGGTCCCAGGGCCCTGCGCTCTCCCACTTGGTGGGTGAGAGGGCAGGGGTATTGTAAGTTTTTGACCTGGTGTGTGGCCGTATGGCCGCACTTGACACAGAAGAACATTTGCCACTTGGGGATGGCGGCCAACACGTGGGAGGGGTGTATCGCCTTGCCACTGATCACACGGGGGCCCCTCGACCACAGGACCTCACCACACGCGGCAAACTCAGGAAGGGGGCTAGGCGGTACACACTCCGTTGCGGCAGCTGGAATTATCTGGCAAGCGTCGACAATAATGTGACAAGAGGAGCATCGCCATTTATCTACACACCGAACGAATTTGTGCTGAGAATCCGCGATCGCGGTCTGCAACTGGGAACGAGGGGCAGCCTCTTGAGTGGGTTGCCTCTCTGGCCACAGACCTCGTGGCTCTGCATTCTTTCCGAAAGAACGAAGAATTAGGCGTGCCCGCTGGCGGACGATCGCCGCGATAGCATCATATTCATCAGTCCTGGGCACGGGCGGGAGGGCTAGGGTGGCCGACTTGTGGGCCGCGTCTCCCGCGAGCTCGTCGGCTTGCTGGTTACCGAGAGCTAGGAATTTCTGAAAGCCGTGCAGGGTCTGAGGATCGGCGTGGGATGGGGTCCAGAGCACCGTGACCGAGAGAGCACCACGCGGTCGATCCTGCACGAGATGCCGTATTCTCAGCCAGAGATCACCATTCGTATTCTTACCTTTGAGGCTACCTGGCCTGAGACATCTACCATTCTGCCAACCACGCTGCAAGGCTAGGTGGTCGGTGACATAGGTGAAATCCTGATGGCAAGTCTCTAGTGCAAGGCAGAACGCATACAATTCTCCTCTTGGGACGGTCTGGCGGGGGCCTGGGAGGGGAGCAAGGAGGCCCGAGTGGAGGGCCCAGGAGGCCGAGGGAGGGTCCCAACGAAGAGCAGCAAGGCCAGAGCCAACGCGACGTCTCCTAACGTCGTCGGAATAGGCTCCGCCAGACCCGTCGCCAAACATAAACAACTCACCCTCGCCATTACGAGCACCTTCCCACGTCGGCAAACCCTCCCGCACCTCACCAACAAACTCCCACCCGCCCCTCCCAGTCAATGGCTCAAAAGAGGGCGTAGTGAGAGTAGAAGAGGGAAGGCCGCGGAGCCACAAGGCGGGGTCGGCATCGGCCCCCGCTAGGGCTCGCGGCAGTAGCTTGTCGCTGGCCTCAAACTCGGGCCCAACATTCGCATCGCACTGCCACATGCGGTGAAACAGGGTTTCAGGGACGCGAGCGCAGCAGCGGTCGCAGTTCCTGTCGATATGGTAGCCTGCGTTGTGGAGGCGGTCTCTGGTCCACTGTCCTCCGCTGATGATGGTGTTGTTGAGGGCCCAATCGCTGAAGTCGCCGTTCGCGAGGAACCTCCTTTGCTCGATACGGATAGTGACCATGTCTGCGCCTCCTGCAAGCGTGTCTCCGTGGATGTGTGTAGAGGCCTGCCTCCAGAGGAGTCGGTGTAGATCTTCGCTGAGGTCTTGCAATACTGTGTGGATGTCGGCGTCGAGGAGGTCAGGGTCGTCGGCGGAGGGGAGGTTCCACTCCTCGATGTAGCCGTCCTTCGTGCGCCTCCACGTCGTAGCGGAGGTCGGCTCCCAACTGGCTTCTAGGAGGGTCGCGATGGCCGCGCCAGTGGGGCCCTTGACCTTGCACCACAGCTTGGGGCCAGCGGCGAGCAGGGTAGTCTTGATCCTTGGCCAGGCTCTGATGATCCTGGCGTGCGTGTTCGGGTGGCGCATCCAATGCTGAAGCCAGACCTCGAGGAACTCTATCCTCAGGGAGACGCCAGGGCCCATGCCGTCAAAGGTGGCGCCGAGGAGGGAGGTGAGGCAGCGACCCGCGGCAGCGCCCGTCGCAGCTATGGCGGCCTGACGACGCCAGCGGAGGAGAGCGTGCCGAGCGAGGCCGTGAACTTGATGTCCGAATACTCCTTCAGGGAGAGCGCCAGTGCGCCACAGGCCAGCGGAAATTCGGGCCTGCTGTGCAGTGCTCCGTAGTCGATGTAGTTTGCGAAACCTGGCGGTGGCCGGCTTCTGACGCTTCCTGGCTTTGGCTTGTACTCGTCGAGTAGCCGCGGCGGCGTCCACGCCTAGGTCAACGGCCGTGGACGTCGCAGTAACTGGAATGTCGTACTGCCGCATCTTCTTGGCAAGCAGGTGGCGGACCTTGGGTGTGGAGCCGATGAGGACGGTCTTGTCTGAGATAGGCAACTCGAACTCCTTCAGGCCGTCGCAGAGCGTCCTGGCAGCACGGGGGAGGTGCTTCTGCAACGCCCGTAGGACACCTTCAACTCGTAGTACAGTGTCGTCCACGAAGGTCCACATCTGGGCAAGCTGTGCCTGAGCTTGAGCATGTCGAAGAATAGGTAACAAAATAAGCCGTGCCAGGGTAGTGCCGTGGGGGGAGCCTGCAATGATGCCCTTGGAGGCGAAGATAGGCATGCTCACCCATTGACGACTGCGCAAGAATCTGGGCGCCAGGTAGAGCTGTACCTCCAATAATAGAATGATGGGAGGGAAGCCACTGTTGAGGCCGACCATGATCAGGTTGGCGAGCTTGATATTGCCGTAGAATTTCTGGATGTCTAACAGCAAAGTCGCGGACTGAATGCCGAGTGCTGAGGCTGTCTCGTCTAACAAGGCCCTATGTAGAGCGGCTTGGAGAGCTGAGGAGCCTTTGATGGCTGTAGTCCAAAAATCGTCGAGTCCTTGCGTCCAGGCTTCCGACGCGGTAGATCTAATACGAGACCAGAGTCGGGCCATATGTGGAAGCATGCCAAGGACTCGGTCGCCTCCCGCCTTCTTGGCGGCGAGAGCTGCAATGGTGTCTGAAATTTGTAGTGGCCAGATGCCAGCTTGCTCCACTGAATTGAGAATATCTGCATAGGCTTCGACGGCAGGTTCTGGCAATCGATGGAGGTCGCGAGGTCCTAGGGCATCAACTCCATGTGCTTTACTAGGCGGCATGCGGCCGTGGATGCGGTGTACTTGCTCTGTTGTGATGGGCTCGAGAGGTTGAAGAACGGCTGCTGCCTTGGCCTTTGTCAGGGCCTGGAGGATGTCGTCGGAGGTCTCGGTGGCATGCCAGACTTGCTGCCATTGTTGCTTCTTGTTGTCAATGATGACGGTGGGGTCGGCGATGGTCAGGTTGGACGTGTAGGCCTCGGTGTGACGTACAGGTGCAGGCTTAACATGGGCGTGTAATACTCCAGGACGGTGCTTCCATTGCTGGGCGAGCCAAGCCCCGTAGGCCCTCTTGGACTTGGCGAGGGCGGCCGAGAGGGCTCTGGAGGCCCAGGTAGCGGTAATAGTGACCAGGTCGTCGGTGTCATCCTTGTCCAGGTGCGGGGCCCAGACGAGCGCGAACCAGCGGAAGATGGTATCCTCATCCTTCTCGAACTGGAGGTCATGCATGTGGCTGTTGAAGTGGTCGGCGCACTGCTGGATGATGATGGCCTGCTGCTCCATAAGCGCTGTATGCTTAGGCTTGTCGAAAAGCGCGGCGTAGCGCATGATGAGGGTGAGCGTAATGGCCCACCATTCCGCATGTGGATCATGTGCGTGTACGCGGCCTGGAGCAGCCGCTGTCTTCTTCCAAGATAGCTGGTAGCCCTGAGCACGGCCAGTGTATGCTGCGGCTTCCTTCGGGTCGATCTGGTGGTGGCTGATCATGGTGTTCTCGAGTGCCGAGACCCATTTGGCGTACTTGAGGTTGAGGGGGTCGGCGTCGTGCTCCCAGTGTCGGTACGCGAAGTGCGCGTGCGGCTGCTTGCAAGGTGTGGGCAACGCCTCCTGCCATTGCTTCTGCCACAAGTCCAGCGGGATGGCGTAGGAGATAGGATCCAGCGCCGCGGGCTCGACCTGTGGCTGAAGCTGCGCTGCTGCTTGTTGAAGTTCAGGAGGTAGATCGCGAAGACGAGCTGCTCGAGCTTCAGCTGCTTTACGTTTCTTAATGGCGGTCTTGCTGTTGGGGTATGGTGGTATCCTGGGCCTGTCCACTGTGGGGAAGGCCTTGGAGGTATCGATAGACTGATACCACCAAGGATCTGCACTGCCTGCTCGAACTTCGAGGCCAACGTGGGTGGCCCACGGTACAGTGGGGCACTGGCGTATGGAAATGGTGTGCTCGATGCCGGTCTTGACCAGTGCGAAATCTAGCGTGATCCCCTGGCCCTTGTCGCAGGTGGCTGATCCAGGTGCTCGCACAATGGTAGCATTCCATTTGGCCAGCCACTCTGTCGCTGCAAGCTGCTCGGGTGTCATATTCCAGTCCGCCAAAATGATCCAAGGGTCTGTCAGCATGGTAACGAAGGCTCCCAGCGAGAGCAGCTTGTCGTGCACAGCACCCTCGATCTGCCTGTGGGGTTCCAGATATGCAGCAATAACAACCAGACTGCCAGAGCGTCTGTGCCAAACCATGGGCGCGAAGCCGAGGAAGGGGTCAGGCCTGCGCTGAGAAATGGCAAGATCTCGGAGATGGTTGAACGAGGTGGCCTGGACATGGTACCTGGATAGGATGATCTCGCCACCCGTGTTGCCGCCGTCCGATCTTCTGGTAGGGGTGGCCGTAGTCGATGATATTCTCCAACCATCCGCTGCAATCTTGTCGTAGATGAGCGGCGCTTTTTCAGGCGAGATGTGTGTTTCGACTAGGGCTACCATCTGATATTGCTTGCCTGGGCCTGCCAACCATTTCTCAGACTGTGGTCCCCATTGTGTGATGTTGGAGAAAAACAGGGAGTGGTCAGACTGCGGGAACTTCGTAGGGCCTTTCTCCTGGTTGGCAGGTGTAGGATAGGCTCTCACACTGCTGCTGGGCTTCGATGGCCCCAACACTACAGGACTGTCGGCAGCTTTCGCCATCTCATCACCCCCTACCAAGGACTGCGTCTTGGGCGGAGCGGCATCAGGGTTTGCCTTTGGCGGAGGCCCCCCTGGTCTCAGTACCACATGAACGTCGACAGCTTGTGCCGTCTCATCGCTCCCTACCGAGGACCGCGTCTCGGGCGGAGCGGCATCAGGGTCAGACCGAGCATCACGCTGTGGCTGTCCTGGGCCCCACACCACGGGGTGGTCGACGGTCTGGGCCGTCTCATCGCCCCCTACCGAGGACAGCGTCTCGGGCGGGGCGGTAGCGTACTGCCCGGACTCGGCGTAATCGAAGTGGGCGTCCAACTCGGCCAGCTCGTCGAACGGGTCGAGGACTGCGTCCATTGTGTTGATGATCGCTGGGTTGTCGTAAAGCGTGGTCTCTGACGGTAGGCGTCCCGTCTCACCATTCCGTCCAGGGATGTGTTGTAGTCGGCTAAAGAGGCTGCTGCGGCCCAGCGGCGGCGGCCGCGGTGGGCTTGCGCATCTGGCTGAGCATCTTCTGAGCCTTGTCTTCGAGGTCGGGGTCCTTGTTGAGTGCAGGCACAGGCTGGGTGACATAGCCGCCGTCAGTAGCAGCGCCAGCAGCAGGCGCAGGAGGCCCGTCGCTTGGCGCCGTCGGCGGTGAGGGCGCCGCGCCTTCAGCGTCAGCTGCCGCTGCCGCTGGGGGTTCGCCTGATGCGGCCGCGGCGGCAGGCGGTGCACCACCACCCGCTCTGGCGTGCCCGTCCTCGTCGGCGCGCTGCCGCTTGGAGGCGAAGCGCGTGCGCATGGTGCTGGCCTCTGCTCGGAGCTGGCTGATGTGGCTGGCGGTGTTGCCGAAGAGCTCGGTGACCTTGGCCTTGAGCTCCGTGGCGAAGCGCTGTTGCAGGGATTCCCAGGCCTGGCGGTCGTTGTCGTCGACGTCGAGGCCTTGGAGGTCGAACGCCGCACCCGCTTCGATGGAGATGTCGCCGTCCTCCAGGAGGCTGGTGAGGTTGAAGGTCGGGGTCTGCTGCGTCTGCATGGGAGTGGCTGTGCCGCCTTTGCGGGCGGCTTGGAGGGCGTCGAGCGCCGCCTGGGCCTCCGCTTGTGCTTCAGCCAACTTGTAGGCGGCCTCCTCCGACGCCTGCTTGCGCTCAGTGTACCAGTTGAGCGCCTTCTGCTCGCTCTCCAGCAGCCTCTCGAGGTTGTTCTTGCAGCGGCGCTCCGTAGCCTGGGCGCGGCTGTAGATCTCGTTGAGGTCGGCAGGCTTCTGCGGCTGGGGCGGCGGGATCTGCGACTTGATGCCGTCGATGGCCGCCTTGTCGATGTGAGGAGCGACTGCCTGGAGCTCCGCCAGGATGTCTTCGGCGGAGCGGGCCTTGGGGGTGTCGTTCTTGCTGGCCCACCAGTCTTCGTCTTGGTCCTTGCCGTTGCCCTTACCACGGCGGCGGCGGGACTTGGGCCAGGATGACCACGGCTCCCAACCTCCCTCGGCGTTGGTCGGCTGGGTGTTCTTGGCCTCGGCCTGGACAGCGGCAGAGACGCGGGCCGCCCAAGCACCTTGCACTGGAGGAGGAACGTCAGTCCACGGCGCCAAGGCTTTGCCACACCAGTGGCACGCCTGCTTGCTCTTCCAGTTCCAGGCGTACGAGCAGGAGTAGCACTTGAAGTAACCATTGCGCTGCTGCTGAGGTGCCATGGACGAGCTGAAGAACCGAGAGTGTTCACCTGCGGGCAGCAGGAGGCACGGGGAGCGTTGAACAAAACTGTCGGGCTAGGAAGCCCTGGCACTGGCCGCGGACTAGCGGTATCCACGTGTTCCCCTGCGGAACAAAGCATCTTGAGCCAAAATGGCTACGGAAGAGGAGGAGGAGGAGGAGGAGGAGAAGCAGGGAAGCACTAAAGAGAAAGCGTCTGCTCACAGACACCACTCTATGCTGGCCTCATGGCCTCAGGAGAACACGTAGAGGACCACGCCGAAGGCGAAGTCCATGGCACGGCGGGGGGGGAGGGGCAGGCGGCCTCGCCCCTGCGCGGGACAAGGCATCATCGCCGACCCTCCCGCTGCTTCCCCCGCCGCGCACCGGGCTGAGGAGCGCCAGGAGGACCACGTCCAGCCGGCGAGCTCCCCAGCGACGACGACGCCGCCGCTATCTGCCTGCGAAGCTCGTCCGCGCCGACCGACATCAGGGCGGCCACGACCTCGGCGGCGGGGTCCAGGCCAGCCATCTTCACGGCGCAGAAGCGCGCGACCAGGTCGCGCTGCTCCGCGTCCGAGCCCGCGGCAGGCGGCGCAGCAGCAGCAGCGGCAGCCGCCCCTCCCCGCACGAGGCCGTCGGCCCAGCGGTCGTCGTCGATCGCGTCGTCGCCGTCAGCATCGGCCTCAGCCTGCGGCGGCAGCGCGGCCAGGGCCGCGCTCTCGCCAGCAGGCGCAGCTTCAGCGCCAGCGCCGTCCCGCCGCCGCGCCGCGAGGCGCTGGCGGCGTCGTCGCCGCCGCTCCACCCAGGCCGCCGAGCGGGCCTTGGGAGCGGCAGCGCCTTCCGTGGCAGGGGCCGCGGCTGCGGCCGCGGGCGGCGGCGCGGCGGCGGGCGGCGCCTCTCGGAGCGCGAAGAGCGCTGCCGAAAGTGCCGACCGCGCCACTGCCGCCACCGTGCGGCGTGGCGCGCGACCCTGCACGGCTGCCCGCACCGCCGCCTCGACGAGGACAGCGGCGTCGGCAGCCCCTCTAGGCGCCTCCAT